CAAGCGCGCCGCGCCCTCGCGGGCGTCGGCGACCGAGCCCTGGAGGACGAGGTTCGTAGTTAACGGACGCGGCTTCTCCGTCGCAAACACCGTCACGCTGTCGCCGCGGCCCTTGCGAATCGAGATCTCGGCAATCTTGATGGCGTTGAGCAGGTCTACATCGTCGCCGGCGTCCTCGCGGTCCTGGAGGGAGACGCCCACGGAGAGGTCGTAGTCGCCGATGCGGCCCCTGACGACCGACGGATCGAATTTGCGGCGGACGAAGTTGATTGCGTCGGAGAACGCGAGCTGGATGCGCCCGTCGACCGTGTCCACTGCTGGGATCGTTGCATAATTCCGCATTATCGCGCGGCTGTGGGCCGATACAGACGCTCGAACCATAGCTTCGTCTTGAAAGGTTCTCGTTCCGTCCGAGGGTTAGAATGAGCTCTAGGACTAGGGTATGGTAATAACTAGGTAAGACTCCCTACTCTAGCCCGGAGGACTAATGGGATCGGAGGCTCTCCACCTCCAACCGCTTAGGTTAGAAGTCTCTCTATCTCTCTATTCGATGATAAGATAAAGCAAATTGAACCTATACGGACATTAGTGATTCGCCATATTAATCAGTTCGCACCTCGAAGGTTTCCATGAGAGCATATCTGAGCATTGTCTTACTGTCGTTTTGCACATCTTTTGGCTGGGGCTGTTCCCACTACAAGCTTGAACTTTTTGATTACACCGGAGACGGTTGGTCTGGTAATCAGTATCACTTTGTGGACGAGTTGGGCAATACCATTATCTCTGGCACGTTGACTCTCGCGGATGGATCTTTCAGCGAGAGGTATGTTTGCGCTGATGATGGCTGCTATCGTGTCAAGGTCGGGGGTAACCCGTATGGAAATCTGGATCAAATTGACTGGACTCTGACCATGATCGAAGACCCCTTCGATACAGTATCAGGCACTGCATATGGTGAAATTACAGTCCAGCTGAGTGGAGGGAAAATTTTAGAGAATGCATGTTCACGGCCGCCCAGCTTGAGCAATGTTCCAACTCGGCATCCAACCTCGACACCAGGCCCAACTTTGACACCAGAACCGACGCCTAGAGCTACCACTTGCTACCATCTGGAATCTCTTAGCATACTGGGCAATGGATGGAACGATAATGTCCTTGATATCAAATCTGACTATTTATTCCTCACATACACCTTTGATGATGGGTTCTATAAGGAAGACAGTGTCTGCATTGATGATGGATGCTACGATTTTCGCTTTGGAGGGGGGTCCCAACTAGATGCTGCGGGGTTTCGCTTCGTTTTTGATGACAAATTTTATGGAGAAGTCCCGACATCAGGGCTCATTGGTCTATCGCAAGGAGCCGTGTCCATGGGGCAATGTACCTCACAGCCTTCTCTCAGCACACCGCCCTCAATTTCGCCAAACCCGTCACCTAGTCCGAGCGTTTCTAAAAGCCCGACAGTGACCTTTACGCCCACAAACACTCATAGCCCAAGTGTGGATGCGTGTAAGCCCGAGTGTTATCACAATACCTGCTTTGATCTGATCTTGGCATATGAAGACACCACATGCGAGAATCTCCAAGAACTTGGGTGCACATGTGCCAACTGTCGTTGCCCGGACCCCCGTCCGACGAGTGTCCCCTCGGCGAGCTTAAAGCCCACTTTGACCAAGACTCCAACAGCAGCCCCCACGACAGCAACGCCAACAACGCCGAAACCCAGTCTGATGCCCCATGCTCGACCGCCAAACCTTGATTCCATCAGTACAGATGATACTGATGATGAGATGCTCTTATCGTCAGAAGAGGGGCTCCTGATTGTCTTTTGCATTGCCTTTGTCAGCGTTAGCCTTGGACTGTGTTTGAGGGATCTGAAACACAAGAGAGACAGCGCGAGAGAAGTAGAGATACACGCACATCAAGCAGGTATCGTTAACGCATCTGCGAAGCACACCGTAGAGCAGAGAAAGAATACTTGCTCTGCGCCAGAACTCGTTAATGCCACCGAAACTCATATAAACACGGCTCCGGAGAAGCAAAACAGCTCCCTTCCTGTAGCAAACATCAAAGAAGATGTCATCGAGTTCTCTTATATTTGATGTAGCACAGTGCTGCTTTGACGTATTTGTATCCCATTAGACGCACAGATAGCCTATCAGCCGAACTCGGGGAACATACCAAGTCCATGACGATGGAGCATATGTCACATGATGAGCTTCCCACAGGTCTGTCAAAAATGCACCCGTCCTCAATATGAGTACATTTCGCAGCAGCGGTGAATGCATTTCCCAGCAGCGTTTTTACGCCCCTAGCGCGGAGGTTTTGGCGCTCCTCGGCGACTTTGCGAACATCTTTCTCGGCCAAATTCGCTAAATTAATTCCCCCGGCAAGAGTGTAAGACACTGCATATAAAATCGCGGGCGCTTACTAATCCACGGCGGGAACGCAACTTTAGCTCATTGAGCCTATAATGAATAGGAGCATGCTAGATGAGTATAAGTTTACAATAGAATTTCAATTCTCAAAGTCTCCAGAGTCTCTTGTGGAGATAAAAGACGCGCTTATGTTCGCTGACCGGTCACAACGGTTCCCGCTCAGGGTCAGGAATCTTGCCCAAACGCCTCTGAAAGAACAATATCATCACCCAAGCTTCTTTTTCTTAGCGAGAGCTCGCGTCCAGTTTTGTATGACTCCGCGCTGTTGGCCGAAGAGCCTCATGTGCTAATGAGTAGTTTAATTCCCGTTGCCGTTCGAGCCATGTACGTGTTGTTTGCAATGCTGTCAAACGAGATGTAAGGGTGAACGTCAAACCTCCGCGGGGGCGCTACTTGCTAGCTATTCGCAGATTACCTGCGCCGCTTGCGCCCCACATGAGCCTGGGGTAGTTTATGGACGTCAAAGCGCCGCGCACGTTTTGTCCTAGGAGCGGTGCCGCAGACGGCTCGAGGTTCGAGGAACATGGCGACGCCAAGTAGTAACAGGATAGGAAGCGGCGTGAAGAGCGTGTCCCTTCGGGCGCTAGCCATTAACCCGGGTAATCAAAGGACAATCAAGGTGTCCATGTGATCAAGCTTACTAAATATGGATACAAACGAGTCTATTACAACAGGGAACAACAGGGCGAGTGAATTTACAAACGCTTCCATCGTGCAAGCTCGTAACTCGAGTCAAGATCAGCCTAGATACGAAAGCTGTGACGACGGATTATTCAAGACATACCATCGAGGATTGTGCGCCACTTTCTCAGATTCTCTTGAATGCTGTCAAAATTACCGTGTCTTGGGATATTGTGAAACACGGTTTAACCCGGGTGGATCCTTGGATGGATATTGTTCCCAATCGTGTGGGTTTTGTGAGGGTGTCGGAGATACGGATCTGGAAGGCATGGGTAGAGGTGTGAGGTACGACGCAGCCAAATCCAACCCACGTTTATTTTGTTTAATAGCATTTGCTATCATTTTTGTTGCCGCTGGTTGCATGTTACTGGCCTGGGGTATTTTTGTAGCAAAGAAAAAAACCACACGTGAACCAAAGATGCTGGCGTGGTTGAAGCTACGACAGGTTTCCAGAGGATTCATTCGCCTTGCATTCTTTATTTCAGCTTTTTTATTATTTCTCATTGCTGGCACTGGTGTTTCTGTGTTCGATTTTAGTTCCCCTGACATCTTCGTGTCGCCCGTCAGTATAACTAGATTCAGTGTCGAGACAACGATTGCCAGGACTGTGATAAGCGTAGAATATTCACTCTACATGAAAATTGAAGAAGTCTTCATGCATGTCGCTGCCGAACTTCAAAATATTGAAATAAATGTCTATTACAATCACCATGGTGCGAAGCGCAGTATCGGTTTCACTAAGATCCCTACTACGACAATTGAGACTGGTGAAATCTCTTACGTCGGAGGAGTCCTGATTGCGCCCATCACGCTTGATCCTGCCTGGGCCTCTTGGTTCCTAGAAGACCTCGATGCTGGCATCTTGCAATTGCAAATCGGACCGGAGGACCTTGTTATGGATCTTTACACTCGCGATTCCATCTTCCAATGGGTCTCTGGCATAAATCAACAGCAAATTGCCTACAGTTATGGCTGCCGTGTTGCACTTTATACGAGGCCAAGAGAGGCCGTGAGGCAAGGAGTCCACCAGAAATATACCTCTCACTTGAGTGACTTTCGATAGGTACTAAGCTCGCCCACGGCAGCGCCAAGTAGCACACACAGTATAAGTAGGACGAATGAAAGTGCGTCTGCGGTTAGTGTTGGCTCTACATCTCAACCGGTCGAATCATATCTTAGCAAAACTATCGCAGGGGTCGCGCATGCTGCCACTGGAGGAAGGATCGGATATGACCCAATTCAGGAGGAACTTACCAACATACTCGGACACGGCTACGACCAAGAGTGTTCTCCCTTGCCAGACCAATCCATCGACATGAGCAGAATTTCAGTCGTTGCAAATGGTTGTCTATTTGTGGCATGCCTTGCAGGTTTAGCGAGTTGCATCCAACTGGTTATTTTAAGGAGGTTGTACAGAAGGACCTTTGATTGTATTGACGTAAAAAACTGCGATCGTATTGACGCAGAAAAAATTCTAGGCTGTGTGGAATTATCAGTGTTGGACGAGTCATCGGTCTTCCATGATCTAGGAGCTTCACATGTCGAGCTGCACTAGCAGCTTCAGCGCTGGCATATCCGGTCGAGCAGCCAAATTCCAACCCTCAGTAACCGTCACGCCTGGGCGATGGATTCCCCTTGAGTTTTGTTTTTCTATGCCGAAATTCTATTGTCGTTTTATAGTTATAGAGCAGATGCGCAGCTTAAAAAGATTCAACAACAATTTTGGTCATTTTTTTTCATTGGGTTTCATTCTCACAAAAACCGACGAAAATTTGTTGTCTATTTTTTCTATGAAAATGCCGTTCGGCCAGCCCTATCCTAAGGTAAAAGTAGCTTTCTAGGAGAAGATTTTCCTGTGGCATTCTGCGCGTAGGGCTCGTAGCCCCAGTCGCAGCCCGCCGTCAGCGCCTCCACGTTCGGCCCGGGCCAGTTGCGCACCTGGCCGTCGGGCTGGCCCCACTTCGTGCTCTTGTCAAAGGCTGGCAGCTTAGCCGGGGGAACAGCGCGCTGTGAGTGTACAGGTCGGGTTCGAGACCAGGTTCGCGTGCTCACCCAGCTCCCGGTCGTGGCGAGAGCCGCCACGCCCGACTCGCTGCGGGGGAGCAGAGAGGTTCCCCCAACGTTCCCCCAACCGGGGAGTTTCACCTGACTTGCAGTCAGGCATTTTCGCGCTACGGAGAGCGTTTAGCGCATAGGAGATGGTAACATTTCCCAACCACCTAGGAGGCGGTTCACTAGGATACCCGTAACGCAGTCTCACTCTGGTCTGGGTTATGGGCCCACTTCCGCGCTGTGAGCCACCGCGCTACACCTGCTAGCTGTGCGCAGCTACACCGCTGCAGGCCTGCGCGCAGGGCGCGCCGCCCGCAGCAGATCCACCGCTCGCGAGCGGCGGATAACCCCTGGAACCAGAGCGCGCGCCGCCGCACGAAGGACGGCGGCGCCTCCGTCGTCGCCTCCTGCGACTGGTGGCCCGCGGTCCTACCGCGCCAACCTGGCCAACGGACCGCTCCTGCCGCCCGCCTCCCTATGAAAGGCTGATGATGATGCTGATGATGATGCTGATGATGTTGTATGAAAGGCTGATGATGATGTCAGTGTTGATGGTGTTGATGTAAGTGTTGAGAAAACTCAACGGAAGTGAAAATGACTGGCTATTAGAGCAGGAAGCCACATATTTTAGGGCGAGGAAACTCCGCCGATTCCCGCTCTCCGGCCTCCTGTCCGGCCTCACGACGGCGCGCCTACAGGGCGCGCCGCACCGCCGTTCCTTCCCGGCACGGTGCCGTGGCACCCGCCCGCCTCCCTGCACGCTGCGGCGTGCACATTCTCATTCCCCGGCCTGGCTTCGCAGTCCCCGCTCCGCCTTCCCGGCCGCGGCGGGGGAGCAGAGGAGCCAGGATACCCCCTAAAAAAGATAGGACACACTTTTTAGTCATTTTTTTCGTAAACTCAAAAAACGACGTAAAAAGAGTGTCCTACCGTTTTTTCTCTGAAAAAAACCGTTTGGTGTAACCCGCAAAGGCAAATAAATCGGCCTTCGCGAGCCTATAACCCGCATCAACTTTACTTCAAGTTGAGGCTGTAACCCGCACTCGGCCGATCCCTAAATCCGAACCCTCAAAATTTTTTTATGACGCGCGCGTGATAGTGTGATGGTCCGCGGTGATTGGGGAAGGTGTTAGTGATTGGGGCATCGGCACGACAGTGTCGTTTGAAGCACAGCATGATGCTGAGAAACTTCATAACATGCTTCCAATGTTGTATTCAATATGTCTTTTTTCAATCTTGATGAAATATGACAACACCCCTCAAATGCTAATTTTAATATGGTATAAGGAATACTCTATATTAAGAGGTATAATATGGAGCAGTGGAAAACTATTGAGGAATATCCTAATTACAAAATTTCAAGTTTTGGTAATATTAAAACAAAAACCCAAAATAGAAGTATGTGTTTTGACAAAGATGGTTATTTGCAAGTAAATTTAAGTAAATCAGGTGTAAGAAAAACTGTTCGTGTTCACAGACTTGTAGCTTTAGCATTTATTGAGAACACCGATAATAAACCATTTGTTGATCACATTGATCGCGACAGAACAAACAATAATATTTCAAATTTGCGATGGGCAACTAAATCTGAAAATCAAGCAAATCAAACTAAGTATTCAAATAATACATCAGGTTTTAAAGGTGTTTCTATTGATAAACGCAATGGAAAATATAAAGCAGCAATTACAATCCAAAGTAAGAAAAAGTTTCTTGGTTATTTCAAAACAGCTGAAGAAACATCAGCAGTTTATGAGGAAAAAGCCAAAGAATTACGTGGTGATTTCTATTGTGACACAAATGTAAAAAAATGATACCTGTTGAAAAATGAGTATAAGGACAAAATAATATATATATATTAATTAATATGATTACATTGAATGATGAAAACACACCAATTTACAAATTACTTGGATTACTGGACGGTCGCAGTAAAGTGCCAAAATTCAAGAAGACCATTTTCAAGAAAAATGGGGAACTACGTAAAAAGTTCCAAGATAAAGTTGATGAATACCAAAGTAATCAACGACGAGTAAGACGCCGTCAGCGTCTCATTCAAAATTCAAATGTGAATGGTGTTGAACAACCAAGTGGAAATTCAACTGTGCGTATCATTCAATATACAGGTGAGTTTGAACGCGACCATGATACATTTGCCCGTAATCTTATCAATATCATCAACAGTGAATACAGGAATGCTTATCGAGTAATTGTAACAGAGCCTTACAGTGATCATTCAGGATCTGCATCAACAAAGGTTCTACAAGAGGCTTTTACTGAAGAACATTATTGGAAGTTGATTGATGATTTGAGAAAGTATGGAGAAACAGATTTGAGCTCTCTTGTTTACACCGTCATGTATTATGATGTTCCAACGGGTGGAAGTGGCGAGTTTCTACCAAAGTGGTTTTGACTTTGGAGTATTGAGATTGAGTTTACTTTCCAGTTTCAGTTTATCTTTAGCCAGTTCTTTAGATTTCTGAGCCAAGTTGTCCCTCATAGTCAAAGACTTCTTCAGTTGAGTGGTGGCTTTAGCAAATTTGATATTCAGTTCATTGCTTTGAGTTTGATACTGATTGAATTCATCTTCATCATCCATATTGAACAGCTTCAATTTCCCAATCTGCTTTTTGACTGATTTGATAGTGTTCTGGCATTTATCAACCCGTTCTGTAGCACTTTTTAGTTTATCAGTGGTGGTCTCTATGTCTCCAATGACTTTCTTTAGATCAGATTTCATTCCAGCATCGCGAGATCTCTTCAATCCAGACGCGAGTTTCATAGCAACCGGTTTGATCTTTGATAAAACACTTTCAACATCGTCAGCATCAGATGCTTCATAGTCGTTAACCTCAGCCTCCCATAACATCTCCAAACGAAGTCCATTTCCAGCATCAGCCTTGTTTACGACGAGTGCTCGTTTAGCCAAGTGCTCAATCGATATGCCGGCACGAAGTAGTGCTAAACAGAACTTGTTATTCGTCTGGAACTTATATTCCACGTCCTTCAGCCGTTCTGTGAGATGGAAGAGGCACTCGAAAAGCTCCTTCTGTGACATGCCTTTAAAGGCATGCTTTATCGTTGCCATCGTGGCTTTTCCCGTAATTATCGGGAACTAAAGAACTTTCTTCAGAATTCTCTTTATCGCTCTCTTTAGTTCTTGGAACACTCTTTATCGCCCGTCACCGGGCTCTCTATCACAGATGCCAAACACACATCTCAAATGGAGTTTTGCAATGAGCCTACCGAGCATACCGAGCCTACCGAACCTCAGCCCGACCCCTTTGATAAGATTAACACAATCTTGGACTGTCTCGAGTGTGGTAATAAGTTCTGTCATTGGCAAACGATCACGACGTTCAGTGAGGATAAACTGAATTTACTTCCCGATGAGTTCTATCACTATGACAGTGATAAGTGCTATGAGACTGCACAGCAGTATTGCATTCCTTGTGCTACAAAGCTTATAGCTGAAGCGGAAGCGGACGCGGAAGCGGAGCGCGTCAAAGCGGAAGCGGAAGCGGAATGCGTCAAGGAAGCGGAACGCGTCAAAGCGGAAGCTGAGGCTAAACTATGCTCTTGTGATTTCTGTGAAGGTAAGCCTGTTGGAACTGATGAATTCCCATACACAGGTTGCATTAAAGAAGTTGAAAAAGACACTGCGCAAGTGGAACAAGACAGTGAAGAGGACAGTGAAGATGATGTTTCTTGCTATTGGAAACAGGGAGCTTTAAAGCATGTTGATCGCATGCAGGCTGAAATAGACCTTCCTGACAATATGAGTGATCATGACGCTTTTGCGGAGTGGTTGAAAAACTCAGGCTTGGAATTGGACCACGCTCCAAATGAAGACCAACTTACTTACCTAAATCTAATATGGTCCGAGGAAACTGGAGTTACAGAAGAGGGCAACCTTGGTTTTCAGGGGTATTTATGTTTCTTGGACCGCGACCTTACCCAAGTTGATGATAAACTGATTGGTGGCTTACAAGAATTGGAAAGCGGCTTTAGTCATCTTGAAATGTGTCAAGAAGCTAATGATATCAACAACAAGATGAAGCAAGGCTCATTTGATCTAAACACTTGGCTCGATGAAATTAAAGACAGTGATGAAAACTCTAAAGACAGTGAAGCGGAAGCGGAAGCGGAAGCGGAAGCGAAAGCGAAGGCTGTCAAACACCCTTGTTGTGATGATATTGACGAATATGCTTGGTTCAAGAAGGGTAAAACAAAAGAGGAATTAGAATACAATGAGGTTAATTTTCATCATAATACAATCTATGAGAGACTTCCTCGCTATTATTTGACTAATGAGATAATTGATGAACAAATACCGCATCCAGCATCTATTAACGAGGAGGGTGAAATTGTCCCTTTTGATGATATTATTGTAACTTGGGATGTAGTAATGAATTTTGATTTTTACGATAGAACCGAACATCTTGGGAAATACCAGCACTTTTTCCACGAAGCGGAGGCGGAAGCGGCAGCGGTGCGCGTCAAAGCGGAAGCTGAGGCTGAACTATGCCCTTGTGATTTCTGTGAAGGTAAGCCTGTTGGAACTGATGAATTCCCATACAAAGGTTGCATCAAAGAAGTTGAAAAAGACAGTGAAGAGGAAGCAAAAATCATCAAACGCTTGGAAGATGTGCTCATGGATAAATTGAATCTCAAACCCTTGGAAGTGCAATTTCTTCCTCTATCTGACATTCTTGAAACGATGAGTGATACAGACGAAATTATCAACTACGTTCGAGAAAACTTCCTCACTAAATCAGGAAAGTTCTCACCTTATCTTATTTGTGATGAAAACTCTAAAGACAGTGAAGAAACCTCTCAAGAACTTCCTGACAATATGAGTGGTCATGGCGCTTTTGCGGAGTGGTTTGATAAAAATATCAAAAGCGTGGAAGACTGCGAGAAAGAAGGACTCTGCTTTGTTGATGTAATGAAAGAATGGTGTAAGGAGAACAATCATGAATGGACAAGCCAAGGTGTCATTAATGGGAATGTTATGGATGAAAGCTCTAAAGACAGTGAAGACAGTGAAGACAGTGAAGAAGATGGTCCTGACTGTTGTATGTTCTGCGATAAACGCTTTGATTTCCAGTGGACTATCAACAAGAATCCAAAACTGTATAATTGGTATCTCTTTGAAGGACACGACGTTGATGAAGGTGATTTATGCTTTGACTGTTGTGAGAAGCATTACAATGAATGGAAAAAAACCAATTGCCCTGATATTTGAGGGGTGTTGTCATATTTCATCAAGATTGAAAAAAGACATATTGAATACAACATTGGAAACATGTTATGAAGTTTCTCAGCATCATGCTGTGCTTCAAACGACACTGTCGTGCCGATGCCCCAATCACTAACACCTTCCCCAATCACCGCGGACCATCACACTATCACGCGCGCGTCATAAAAAAATTTTGAGGGTTCGGATTTAGGGATCGGCCGAGTGCGGGTTACAGCCTCAACTTGAAGTAAAGTTGATGCGGGTTATAGGCTCGCGAAGGCCGATTTATTTGCCTTTGCGGGTTACACCAAACGGTTTTTTTCAGAGAAAAAACGGTAGGACACTCTTTTTACGTCGTTTTTTGAGTTTACGAAAAAAATGACTAAAAAGTGTGTCCTATCTTTTTTAGGATACCCGTAACGCAGTCTCACTCTGGTCTGCCTACTAGCTCATCTCAAACTCACCATAGCTCATCCGATTGGATTTGCGGAATCGTGAGAAGCAGGGCTTTGCAGCCATACGCTCGGGGCCATTCGTTGAAGAAACCTTGACAGCGCCTGCAGCTGGTGTCGACTTTAACTGGGGGGTTATAGAGAAATCGCACTGTATGACGTGATCATGTTCATGAAACTCTGCCTCCTTGCCTCCTTCGCCAGCGCCAAATACCGCTCCGGGACAAACATCCCGACAAGCAAGATGATCAAACTAAAACATGCGACGAAAAAATTTCCTCCGAAGCAACCTCCCTTACTAATGACGATTGAGACTGCGGGTCACTACTTGAATAAAAACAAGATTTCGAATAATGCAGGCGGCAAAAATGTGAGGGATGGTACATACCACTGTTCATATATACCACATTGGGGCCGCAAAGCGGAACCCTTTGATACTTCTGCTGACGGACTGTCCATTCATTTGTATTCGGAGTATGGGAAACAAGTAGGGAATCCCGCTGGCATTTTCTGCCCACCAAAAAAACTGCCCAACATGCGTACTCACGCGGTATCTTTGGGGACTGATTTCGATTCCGTCTTCCCCAACGGCGCCTGTAACATGCATGCCTTACTGCTGAACCTTCACCGGGCTAGAGTCGCCATTCTCTTCGGTCACAGTTTTAAGAATGACAATCTCGTAGGCTACTGGGGCGCCGTAGGTGCTGACTATGAATCATGGTGGGGAGATAAATTAAGTTTTGTTCTCGCTGATATCAATTTCTTGTGCACTGCAACTAGTATGATTCACATGCTCGAGAAGGATCGTCCATTTGAGTTGGTTACAAAAAAAGGATACTGGCGTAGGGGTGTCGAGTTTGTGGATAAGAGGAGAAACTACAAGCTTTGGGGTGTGTGCATTCTATACACTATGGTTTGGTCTTTGGTACCAATGTGCACGCTATACTTGACGCTTGAGTTTCTGCCCTATCTATTCCCTAATCAAGTTGCGATGATCAGAGGTCAAGAAAGAAAAAAATTGCCTTTAAAAGTACAACAAATCGTCATTCTGATGGAAATTACCCCAAATCTTGCGCAGGCTCTAGATTTATTTTTCGGAAATATGGCTTGGAGCGGATCGTTGTTTAAGAAAACAAATATGTATGGCATCTTTACACCATTTTTTGTGCATTGGAATTATGCTTTTAAAGTCCAGGGTCTTGCGACAACTATCTTGATGGCATTGATGTGGATGGGCGAGAGCACAGCTTCAAAAAGAATGACGACCGCCCGGCCCATCATGAAAGAAAGCCCCATCAAACTTTATGCTACACTATGGGTTACTTTTCTTGTAGATGCCCTTGCACATAGAGCGTTATCCTGGGGTCATGGAGTCTTTGCATGGCAACCTGATGTTGTTGTACTGATTATGGTTATCGTTCCAATCATAGCCTTGTGCTGCGCTGCCTTCTTCCAACTTCAGGCAGGAAAAGTCACTCAGACACTGCGCTCAGCAGGCGATGCAAACCCCGCGCTTGTTGCCTTCAGGCATAAAATGGTCGTGAACTTGGCTCGCAGTGGCGTATGGGACACTAGCTCTAGTGTTGTCACCATCGTTTTGGGAGCTAGCACATTTGGGGTGGCGCCCATAGGCTTAATTTTCACGGTAGCATCTATATCGACATTTCGATGTGTTGTATCCTACTACCAGGTGGTTTCTGTTGAACCAGCTGCTGCCGCAAAGGCTCGAAAAGAAGCTAAGTCAAGGATAGTGCAAAAGGCTCTTCCTTCGTCAATGAGTTCGATGTCATCATCATCTTCAATGTCATCTTCACCTTCATCGTTGTCATCATCGTCATCATCAGCTTCATCCATATCCTTTTCCACATCCTCGTCTTCATCTGCAAATACTGATGTGTCTACTGCTTGATTCTATCATTCTTCGGCGCGAGCTTTCCGATGATACACATGGGGAATCAGGGCAAGAGCTTATCCTGGCGCGAGAGTCTGTATTCCGCGCTAAGCTATGTTCCGGTGGAAAGCTGTGTTCCGGAGCGCTTTGTTTCGGCTGTACTGCGGGGTCTCGGCTGTGACGGCGTACTGGTGCACCCCTCAGACACTGTTAGCATATCCCGCCGGCGGGATATTATAACCTGGGCTTCAACCTCAGACCTTGTACTTCAACAGGGACCTCAACACAGCCGCTTGCCCTTCAAAAGGGACCTCAACACCGCCGCTCACGCCTCGCGGGGGACCTCTGACGCGCCGCCCACGCCTTAGGGGGCGCGACCAGTGCTTCCTCCTGCTCAAGGACAAGTACGAGCGCCACGCGACGGCGCTCGCCGCGAGGGAGCGGCGGGTGTAACGAATTCGAGAGAGTGATGTAGCGGGAATTGTCCCTTCAAGGTAGACTCTCGGACTACTGGTGGCGGCCCCACTACCAGATCGCAAGCTAGGGAAGGATATCAACAGATAGAGTCGTTACAACAAAATCTAGGTTTACGACGACACCCAAATAGAGACGATAACGTCGAGGAGGGCTCCCAACCGGAATCCTCAGTATCAGAGATGAATGAACGAGAGATGCTAGAACTGAATTTAAGTGTGGATGACCCACTGTAACCCGCCGCAGGCCGCGCTCGAAGCGACCGCAGCGATTGTCGACGCGATCATGACCTTATAGGCCACGCATCTGTCGCAATCCAGTCGTTATTGAGCAAGATCTGACACGGTACAGCCGCAGCGTTCGTCACGTCGCGCATCAACAACCGGCCGTTGGCCCGCGCGCGCCCCACGCCGTCGGACAAAAACTCGCGGAGGCGCGCACGTCGACATGTGCTCTCGGAAATTGAGCACCCCGCGGAGCACCCAAAAAAGTACGGGCTCTGGCAGCGGCGTAAAAGTTGGCGGACGTTCCCCATGCGCCAGCCAACCCGCTTTCGAAACTCTCTCTCTCTCCCCGCAATCTTTATTCGCTAAGGACGCTCGCGTCTATCGTCTAGGGCGGCTTAGACGATGGTGGGCGTTTAGCGTGGAATCGCTGCCCGAGGACCTCCGGTGGGCTTCGTGACCCACCCGCTGTGCTAGCTCGGCCCGCCCGGGGCGTTCGGGGCCCCGCGGGCTGCGGAAGGGCGCCCCGTGCCGGGGCATTCAGCGCTGCTCGCAGCGCCCCGCGCGCGGCGTCTTCGTGTCGCTGCAAACGTGCGATTTCGCTGCCTCTGGCGTGCTCGTTTGTGTTTTCCGAGAGTGTGGAGGTAGGGTTGGGGCGCGGGTTGCCGTTTTTTTTTCTTTCGTGCGTCATGTCTTCGCCCGCAAAGAAGTCGAAGGTCGTTTGGATCGGAGAAAGCTACCATCGAGACATGGCCGAAGCTACGGAACGTCTTGTGCGTATAATGAAGCAGCTGCGCGTGCGAGAAGCCTCCATCTGCTGCAGTAATAATGGGACCAAAAAAAGGAGTACGCCTCTTCCACCTTGTGGGTTCGATGCTCCTGAAAAATATGGGGATTTCGCCTACGAGTTTGGGTCGCACAACTTCAGGTTTTTGCAACGGATCTACGCTATTAGTGGTGGCAGATGCGGGTGCATCGGTGTGGATGGTGATCCGAACATGCGCCCGCATGTGCTCTGTTCGTTCCGTGACTTTTGGTTGTACAAACGTCATTACTTCAAGCGTTGTCCGCCCGGTGTTTGTGTTTTTGCTGG